ACGGCATGACCAATCCAAAGCTAGTGGAAGGCATGTATAACTCAATTTTCGTCTTTCTGAACTCGACGACGGTTTCGAACCTTGCAGTCCCCGTGGGTCTGGGGTACTGTGTCCTCGTTCTAGCTACAGACAGCGACTAACAGCATGGCCTCCGTCGGGACGATAAGAGATAACTATTATCAGTCTCTCTCTTAGTTCACTCCTAATCCTTATAAAAAGTAGACTATTGTCTTGCTTCTCAACAGATAAAAATTGTCGATGGAGTCTTAGTTTTTTGTTCTGTGGTTACAGCGAAAACCCTTGCCCTCTCCAGCACACTGCAGCAGTCCGTTATCTCGATGGCGCCTCATCTTGCGTCTGTAGTGTGTCACCCCAAGCTGATGTCATACTACTATGGTGTGCGTCAGGAGTGTCTGGGTCGTGTGTGGTACAAAAACTCAAGACACTCGCTATCTGCATGTCTCTCTGGCAGCGATGCGTAGTCGGCGTCACGGTGCGAGCATGGATGACGTGAGAGAATGAGAGAGAGAATGTGTGTGTGTGTGTGTCTGACTCAATGTGTGTGTGAGTGTGGGTGAGAAAGTCCGCCCGTGTGTGAGTGTGTGCGCGCGTGTGTGAGTGTGTGCGCGCGTGCGTGTGTGTGTGTGTGTGTGTGCGTGTGTGTGTATGTGTGCGTGCGTGCGTGTGTGTGTGTGTGTGTGTGTGTGTGTGCGTGTGTGTGTGTGTGTGTGTGTGCGTGTGTGTGTCTGTGTGTGCGTGCTTGCGTGCGCGCGCGCGCGCGTGTGTGTGTGTGTGTGTGTGTGTGTGTGTGTGTGTGTGTGTGTGTGTGTGTGTGTGTGTGTGTGTGTGTGCGTGCAAAGATCTCGAGATGTAGCCGCTCCATCAGGATCATCTACTTTAGGGCGGGGGTTGGGGTTTCTGTTCTAAACCCGGTGCTTTGTTAGTGATATCGAGAATATAATACTTTTGGACTACTTTCCAGGCTTATAATATTGTGAAGCGTGCTGACAAAATGAGTTAGTTCTCGGATTTGAGCACTATGAAAATAGATACATTATCATGCTTATAGGTTAAGTTTTTACAATTTGTACGTATGAAATAACAAAAGGCGTTTAGTACTTACTGAATATTCCATCAATAGAAAACCTAGAAATTTGTTCCTAGTGTCGATTTTTGGTCTGCATTTGTGGATTGTGAGAAGTAACTCATTTTGTCAGCACGCCTCACATATTGCTGAATCCTTTCTACTGCTACACCTTGTCTCCTCCTTACTGCTCTCTCAGCCACACCCCTAATCTTCTGGTAGTAAAAATCTACACCTCAAGCCTTCTCGGACCAGAGCGAAAAATCTCGGAGGGCATGTGTGCAAGTTGCGCACGTTAAAAATCTCTTGGTGGTCTAAAATCGGTAAGAGTAGGTTTCAGCCGCCACTCGAGCAAAATTCAAAATGTACTACCCCCTGAAAAAGTTTAATAACATTATGTGCCCCTCGCGCTCATATGACCGTTTGCTGTTGCGAGCGCGGTAAAACACAGGCTACCGAAAAAAAGGCTTAGGCCCTATATAATGCAAACATATCTCAAGCAATAGACTGGAGAAGTATTACATTATTGTTATTGTTGCAATAAATGCTTTGTTGTGTTTTGTATATGATGTGTGGGGGAGGAGAAGGGGTGCAGTTGTGTTGTTGTTGTTGTTGTTGTTGTTGTTGTTGTTGTTGTTGTTGTTGTTGTTGTTGTTTGTTTGTTGGTTGTTGTTGTTGTTGTTTTTTTTGGGGGGGTGTAAATGTTTGGAATTTATTTTGGTATAAAAAAGGAGAGGGGGGGGGGGTGGACGACAACGAAAACAACATCAGGCTTTCTTCAGAATTATAGAAACAGAAATTAAAGGACGGGAAGCATTCGATGTAGATGCTATATATATATATATATATATAAGACTAGATCTAGTACTGTAGTTGATCGAGAATAGTGCAGTACAGAACTATTCTTGTCGAAAGGAATAAAATTCGAGAGAGTCAGAGCCAACGTAGTATAATTATTCGAGATAGTCAGAGCGTAGTGAGAGAGTCAGAGCCAACGTAGTATTATAATAATTCGAGAGATTCAGAGCCAACGTAGTATAATTATTCGTGAGAATCAGAGCCAACGTAGTATAATTATTCGAGAGATTCAGAGCCAACGTAGTATAATTATTCGAGAGATTCAGAGCCAACGTAGTATAATTATTCGAGAGAGTCAGAGCCAACGTAGTATAATTATTCGAGAGAGTCAGAGCCAACGTAGTATAATTATTCGAGAGAGTCAGAGTTCAACGTAGTATAATTATTCGAGAGATTCAGAGCCAACGTAGATATCTAGTATCAGCTGAGCAAACACGCAGAGTGGGATGTTGATGCTTGCAACAAACAAGCAGAGATACTGCTCTACATCACGATGAACAAAATGTTCCGCTTCAGGAATGAAATCGAGTCTTGAGCGTGCAGTAACAAAGTGCTGACACATTTACACCTTGGGGTTGGCTGAGTCACTGAACTGTGTACACGTATTTTACTATACGCGTCATGTCAATTTGAAAAGTCTTTTTAGATCCTTTTTGTAGTTTTACGTCGTCTTCTCCCGGGAAGATACAATAACTACTAATCTCCTCTTTCTCTCTCTCCCTCTCTCTCTCTCTCTCTCTCTCTCTCTCTCCCTCTCTCTCCGTTTTTGTAGCTCTATACATAAAGTAGGCCTACTTCTAGTTCTAGTACTTCTAGGGCAGACTCAGGCACTCTTCTCGATCCAGTTACAACAGTTTTCAAAGCACTACACGGCCCAGTGAACAGTAGTGCTGGGCGACTAGGTTCCCGATAATGAAAGCTAGGAATCGTAGGAATCGACTCCGAACCCAATTACTTACTTTCTAATGATGTGATTTTTTTCTTCCGGTGGTTACCTGGTTGGTGCCGAAAATCTTCAGGATTTAGGATAACATTGATTTCGGAACACTACGAAGCATCAACTTCTTTTTTGTTTCAAATATAAATTCTTTTTCAAAAAGAGGATTTTAATGATAAAAATAACTGGCAACCGTTGGTCTACGAAAAAAGGAGACGGAACTTAACTTCCTTAGTATTAATCGCCGGAATCGGTTCCGGAATCGACTCTTCGCCCAGCTCTAGTGAACAGCAGCGTGTGTGTGTCCTCTCACCCACCTGCCTGAACAGCTGATGACCCGGATCTGAGCGCGCCAGATACAGGCGACGTTTTTCCCCGCTCCACTTTAGAAGTTCAACACTCCAGACGAGAGCGAGTAGGCCAAGGCCAGAGACAGTTGTGGTATAAATACATGTATTTAATTTATACACTGCAGTTGTAATACATACCCCTGCATATTCGGCCTGGAATATAGGCCCTAGTAGCCTAGGCTAGCGAGGCAGGGGTAGGCCCAGAGCAACCTGCTTGGGGAACCTGAACAAGTGGGTGACAGGGAAAGATCAGGGAAACGTAGATTTTTTAACACTTTGCAGTCACTTAATTGGCGCAATAGTGCG